AGTATTTTTAACGGTTAAAGTTCTTTATTGAAAATGTAATGTTTCTGTAGCGATCGATTTCGGCCTGTGCCTACTCCATTATCAGGCATTCAGGCTTACCGTCAATGAATGCATGATATACATTGATGATAATGATAAGGATGGTGAATTTCTCAAAAAGTGCCAAATTCCATTTAAAAAATGCTTTTTTATGACTAGATTAATAATATGAATTTTATTCTTAATTAATATAATTAAGTAGTCATAAAAAAAGCTTTTTTAAATGGAATTTGGCACTTCTTGAGAAATTCACCACCCTTATCATTATCATCGATGTATATCATGCATTCATTGACGCTAATCCTGATGATGGAGTAGGCACACACCGAAATCGATCGCTACAGAACATTAGGTACATTTTCAATAAAGAAGTTTAACCGTTAAAAATACTTACCTCAAATAATCTATAACCTACGGTCAAACTATGGAGAATTTTATACAGAATGATTTAAACTTGTGAATGATTAGGATTGGTCCCTACTTATTTTTATTGCACCTACTACTGAATTTTTGATTTATTTTTTTATCAACTCTTAGGTTTAATATTTTACACATCCTATGCAGAAGAACTTGTTTGTTGATTATAATGTTATGTTACTTACGTCTGCGTATTAATTATGTAATCTTTGGATCAGTTTTTATGGCTCTAATATTTTATTCTTCTGTTTATGTTAGTATGTGGAGGCATTTCAACAAGTTTAGAAAAACTTGTCGATCAGGTTGCATGCATGCAATCAGATATTACGGAAATAAGGGAGTTGTTACGTAGCGAGCGAACGGTTGGAAACAACTTAGCACAGCCAAATATAAAATTGCCCGATCTTCCAGCCAAAACACTCGAGGAATTTTTGCTATTAGAGGAATACTCGAAGATTCCTCAACAGGCCAATGCATTGGTGAGAAACTTGTAGTGGTTAATATTTTCTGGATTATTTACTAATTTTATTATTTTAGATAAAACATTTATCTACAGTTGGTGGTATAAATGTTGGAAATGCCACAAGAAGGATTTGGTCCCTTATTGTGACCGATTTTGTTAGCAGCAGATTGAGCTGGATCGGGGCAAATGAAAAAACCAAGTTGCAAAATTTAAATATAAATCGAATAATTATAGGTAAGTTCATATTGTTTTAATACTGGGATTTTATAACAAAATATGAAGCAAAATAAATGACTCTGTCGTCTGGTGTGATGAATGAAGAAGAATCATACCAATTTCAATGGACATTTCTATTAAAATGATTGCCAGTGTAATGTTTCAATAGTGAAATTAATTTCCTCGGATGTCATATTTTATAGCCTTAATTTAGCTTTTTTTTGTTAAATTTGTAGATGATCTATAGTTTGAAATGATTGAATTTTATAATTTGTTCGTAAACATGTGTCATACATTAATCTAATTCTTGACTACTATTGTATAATATCATTATATACATTTTTTTTTTTAATAATACCACCCATTATTATTAACAATAGTAAATAATGGTTCATTATTCAACGACTAGTGGACCAATGAGAGAATCAGAATATAATTATTACACGGGTGTGTGTCCAATCAATTTTTAAGTACCCGCAATCACATATTCTGTAGCAGTCTGATACTTCGAACACGACACTTGAGAATTTCAAAATTTTTTTAACCATTATGTTGTAGTACACTCGGGATAAGGGACATTATACACTTGAATACCGCCCTTGTGCATTACCGCTATTGTTGAATTTTTTTAAATTTAAGTGTTTACTTTGATTCTTGCAGTTTTGATTAATTTAGTTTTGGCATTTCAGTGTCCATTCAAGTATTTTTCTTAATTAAATGATTCTCATTTGACTTGGTTGTGCAATCAAAAGTATTGCTTCATGCATTTTGGTATAAGCATGCAAAAAATATTATAATTTGTATACTAGTAGGGACCTATACAGTATACTTTACTTATTTCCGTTACTTCCAGTTGCTGTAAGAACAATAATACCGAACGCCACTGACATAGAAGTCTTGTCTGCAACCAAAGTTTGGATTCGAAAATCGGCAGAAAGGATAAGAAAAATGGACAAAACTATTTAAATGTTATTTATATTTGTCATATTATAGATAATAGATACATAGTGACATGTATAAGTTGTTAAAGAACCAATATAGCGTGTGATCCTGTATTGTGATTTATTTTGTACTTAGATTGTATACATATAGGTATTTAATCCTCCAAGTCACATATAAGTTAGGTTTGACGGTAGTTTATTCCTTTCTATAACGGGAAACTAATTAACAAACTTACTTTTTTAATACATAGGGTTCAAATTGAATTATTTCAAAAATTGTTTTTGTTTGTATTTTGAAGTTTGTTTTACATGCTCACGATAGCATCCATACATGAATGCCCTAAAGATAACTTTGCAGTATGGTATATTATCAATCATAGTGGACTGCTTTTGAATGTTTTTTATTGTTGATATTTATACGAACATAAACAGTTGGTTTTTGAACATCTATATAGAATCACCTCTAAGCTAATATTACAGTATAGTATATTATCGACCACAGTAGTCAGCTTTCGACTGTTCTTTGTGGTTGACCTTTAGACGAACGAAATAGTTAGCTTTTTAAACATCAATATGGCATGGTCTAAAGATGTCACTCCAATATGGCTTATTGTCAACTATAATAGTTAAACTTTGGACATGACACAAAGTCAACCGATAGAACATTATTTAAAGTTAACTATCAGATGCTTTGTGAAATTAAGTTTTTGGTAACTCTTAGGACTCCCAAAAGTTGCAATAAAGACACATAATTTGTGACATAGTTAACCCGTAGGATTGCTTTTGATTAAGCATTGGTAACCTTGTATTTTATAAGAGGTCTAACTATTGGTTACCTTTCAGATAATTTTGGTTGTGTGTGGGGACGTTTTAAAAATATAAACGCCCGTTGCTACGCATAATTGGGGTTGTCATGGTGGAGTGCATTATTTGTCATTTAATATATCTTGATTTAGGATTATTATACCTGAATAATGATCAAGTATGACATAAAAAGAATAATGGTTCAGTTCTAGTCTTTTAGAAAGTATGGCATTCAAAAAATTCATTATAACAACGTAATTTGTTAATTAATTAAGTCATGAATACCAAAACGTGACGTATCGTCAATTCAGCTAATTTACAACGACGAGGGGAATAAAGGAGTAAGAGGGAAATATGTATTTTAATTTGATTTAGTAATAAACTCCTAAAGCAGATCTAAAAAAACGGCAGAGCAACTCGGTGTGACCCTACGGGGTCATTGGATTTGGCCCATTTTCAATAGGCTTGTTTATATGTGGCATATTATAGGTTCACGGACACCATCGATTCCCCTATAAAGCTAGCTTGCATCGCTTTGCTCTGCCGCTTAATAAACAACAGCAAACATGCGCAAGAACTTATGTAAAAAAATTATGTACAGTATTGTTTTTAGCGACTTTCCATAAAAAAAAAATACGCTATTGTGGCCATGTTGTCCGTCCGTCTGTCCGTCCCTCCGGCAGCTACTAGATCTTTATCTTAGAGAAATTAAAATTGAAAATTGAGACTCAAAATTTTTTATTTTATATTTCGTATACGCTTAGTAGTTAATGTAAATTTTCCAGCTCGGCCTGATGATGACGTGGTACGTCGAAATCGATCGCCTTTAGAAATAAAAAATGTGGAGTCTCAATTTTCAATTTTAATTTCTCTATATCTAACCTCAAACGTAAAATGGACTTCATCAACAAAATATTTATCTTAATAGCTATTGCTCTACTTTTTTCGCTATTTGGTTCGTTAAGGTGTCGAGGCTTGCATTAAGGATTAAGGAAAAACTGCCCAAACCTCCAAAATAGGGTTTCTTTTATAATTCTTCTTACAAAGAACATACGAATGTGAGGTTTTCTGTGTAAGCACTAATGTTGAATCAAATATATTATTGTACGCATGCGCAATCCAATTTTTTTTAATTTTTATATATTCAAATGAAATTTTGCATTAAGCATCTAGAATAAAAGTAAAACTAATATCAAATTTTAAAATTTTTTTTACAAGCTATGCTGATCTAGTGGCACAGAATCAAACCCTTAAGGTGTGTTAAATTGATCGCTGCGTGAAGATCACGAGGATCGTTCGGTATTCAGTTGTATCAGATTTTGGTGCTTATGAATTCTATACGCTCAGATGATTCTTAAAAATCAAATTGAAATGCCCTGTCAAAGAAATGTTTGGGCATACGCATTGCTAACTTTCTTATTTGTGGACGGATTTTTTTTGTTAAAAGATGAAAACGAATTTGGCTGGAATAACCAATTTTTAGGACAAAGACTGTTAATGTAGAAAAGCGCTTTTTGTAAATCGCACTTACTGCTTTCAATTTGGACACATTAAAAATGTATAATCCACTAATGGCAACCATAGAGTAATATAGGAAGCGTTTTCGGGCACGTCCTTCCACTTGCAATAACCGGTTAAGAACCGTTCCGGTTCTCAATAAGTTTCCATTTCTGAAGGAATAACGGTTTCGGTTCGGTTTTCGATCCTGAAAAAATACCGATTTCGGTCCAGTTTTCGGTTCTTTTTCGGTCCGGTCCGGGTCACTGTCCAAACCGAGACACCTTTCAGATTTAGTAACGATTTATAATTCCGCCCCAACACCAACTTTGTTTTTTTTGTTGATGTTCTGGAAGGCAATTTTCCGAAATTAATTCTACTCTTCATCGTGAAATAAAGCTGATAAAATTTTCCTCGGAAATTTATGATCTACACAGTTTCTGCTCGGGACATGGGAATCTACCCCAACACATTCCCAAATTTTCATAAAAATTTTAAAAACACATCCCCATTTCTTTGGCGACAGCAGATATTTTTACTCGGCGGTCACACCAAATCTTTAACTTTCTTAATTCTTTCATGGATATTCTTCGGGCCACTGCCTTCTTTTGATAAAAATTTTATGGCGCTTCTTTATTTGAGTTTCTTCATCTTCGCCTCTTTAAACCCATTACAAAAGACAAATGACATCGAAAATTGAGAGGGTGCTCCTAGTAGCCACCACGATAATCAGAAACGCGAAACTTAACGTGCAGGTTATCTGCCAAAAACCGTTATTTTGCGTTATTTAGTATAGGCAAAATACGTTTTCGACAGATAACCTACGCGTTGAATTTAACGTTAGTTTTACCATTGAATATCCAACTCCTATATTCAATGGTTTTACTTAACAAAGTAACCAGTTAGGTTCTTTTAAGGACGTAGGAAGATTTTGTATATCCTAAGATGATGATTCCGCAACTAATTTATGACGATCCTTCCAGGGCAATTTGACTGAGTCAAGACTGAACCTGAAGGTACTTCTGTGTACCGCATTTTTGAAAAAAATATGCTTTTATATTAGAAATTAAACTAAATTTGAGAAAAACAATTCAGAATCTCATTCGCTATTATATTCGTTATAATTGGCTGTCTGGTTGACTGGCTATCCGGCTGAGATCTCAGCAATTACAATAGCTAGAGACTTTAAATTTTCACTAAAAGCGTTCTGCTATAGTGTACATGTGCAGGCTTTAGTTTATTTTGAGTTGAATTACTCATGAGATCGATAACTTTAAACTCTACTAATAAAATCTTTATCTGTATTACCAAAACTGCGCTTTAGTCATGCATAATATGCTGATTTACAACTTGATTCTTATTGTGCAGACCTAATAATAATACGACATGGCCATACAGAACCTGCAGCAGTGGCATATACTGTCGAAGTATTCCTCTTGACCAATGTAACACAATTGAAGAATAAACCTTTTCCTTTCGAACCAAGGAGATCATTATATTCTCCAGTTGGGATAACTTTGCCACCCCTGTCAACATTATGGTGTTATCATCCTTTATTTGTAATGTCGTTCATCCAAACTGTTCTAAAAAAGGAAAGTGTGCAAGTACTAGGTATGTGAAAAAATCCGAAATAAATGATTATATTCAAATCGTGTCTGCTGTGACCAGAAAAATTAAAATGAGCCATCATTAGGAAGCATAAATAGGACGCCGAAAGGAGGGAGGGTCATTATCGCATGCACGCTTTAATCGTGTAAATTGTTCGTTGTATGTGAAACGTAACAATCAAATGATCGGTAACATTAGAGGGACTAATTGCGGGTGTACAGCTTCGCCCTTCTCCGATCCGGCGGCTTCCTTCCTTACGCCATTCCAAGCCATTTCCCCACAATCACTCTTTGCTCGCTTCTTTCAGACACTTAAGGCGCAACGAGCCGATTATGGAGCTATTGAATTGAGAAGCAGAGAACAGACGAATTGGTGTTATAAAGCCTGAATTGTAAAATTTTTCGAGAAATTTATTCAATTACAGTCCTGAAAGGATTCAATGCGAAATAATTAAAGTTAAGGGTGAATGGAAAAGTATTACTGGAAAATTTGAGTTCTCTCCCAAGTTAGGTAATATATGAGGCTTTAAATTGAATTTCACTTCCAATATCAATATCATCACGAAGTATAAGTATCAATACCCGAGGAAAAGTACATCAAATTAGGTCGGTAATCTATGGAGCTCTTCATATTTCAATGTGTCCAATCCTTTTTTATGAAATGTCGTCATTCAGAATCTCAATCCGGAGTTTAATTTGTCGGCTTATGCATTGTGTTTGCTTAGAGGGTCGACACCTATAAGCCATAGCCACTTTATGGTAGTCAGCAATTTTGGCATTCAATCAAAACGCAATTCACACCGTCCTACTAATTACATTTGCAATTATTTGAAACAAATTCATTCCGATTTTTACATAATAATCAATCGGTCGATTTTTTGCAGTGGAACTTATTATAAAATCAGGAACTCAAAATAGTGCTCTTGGTTTTACCTACACAAATTACATTTAATGACTGTCTCGTTTCAGATGACATTTAAAAATGATACATCATTTTCTAGTGTAAATTTGCCTCAAATTTATTGACTGCGACTTGCGAGGATAAAATGAGAGCAACATATAGCGCAATAATTGCATGCATCATTTTCGCGATCCTTTCTAGCGTATAAGTGTAGGGAATTAGCAAAATTTTGTCAAATTAAATGTGCATTAATGTAAGTATGGGCATAGAGTTTGCGGGGATAAGCTTTTTAACAAAGAACTTCA